TCGAAAACACGCGCACGAGATAGAGAATTCTCACCATAGGCCTCTTTCAACAACTTATAGCACTCAGTCGGAGTTTTTTTTAATTTAACGAGAAATTTCACATTGATCCGTTGCTCGTGTTTTTCGTCACACATTGTTATCGGCACGAGAAAAAAACAAGTACGTTTCTAACCTCTATAGAAAAAATACTACTACTGCGACAAAAACGTGTTTTCGTACTGAAATAGTAGACACTTCCAGCTATCCAACGCTGCATTCGTTTCCCATCTTACCCCTCTAGGACGCCTTCTGCGCGCGCAGTCTCGTTATTTAATAGCCAGACCTCGTATAGTGTTGAAAGAATCTACAGGAACATTTGGACCACGGATACAGGAAACTCTACTCCGTCCAATTAATATGTACATTGAATCGTTGAAGTCAGGAAAACTTACAACGGAACACTTCAAGACATGATTTAGTGAAGTGTATCTATCATGCTTATCATAGACATTACTGATCCCGATTTTTTTCTGCCATGGTGACATGATGTACCCGGGCAACAGAAAAGTTAGACAACTCAAAAATTCAGAAAATTCTGAAGCGTGGAAATAGGGTACTTAATCTAGAACACAAAACTATTTTTTATTCGTGCGGAATTACTATTGATACAGTATCTTTTTTTTCATTATGTTGCAAGTAGCTATTCTTCAGACCAAAATTAAATGCATGATATTTTATAAAAATAATAATTTCTTTATTCATGCTTTGTTTTTAATTGTCCAAAGTGTTTTGTGCATACCTTTATACACTATAAAAATATTTGAGACTAGTTTTGCAAACAATTTAACAAACTATTATTACTATTATTATTACTATTATTGTTATTATTGTTATATAAAAGCTCTTATTTCAATAGTTGCTGCTGTACTGATACTGTGCTGATGGATTGTATTGCGTTTGCCTTTCACGCTACTTCGCGCAGCCAACGCGGTATGAGACCAATACATACAGGGCTCGCAAATAGAGTTTTCATTTATATTTGAAAAATGGATTTTCGGAACATAATTATCATATACATCGTCGTTTTCAGCGTAAAATGCTCTTTGATTTTAGTTACATAAACGTTAACAAAGTTTTGAAAATAGAGGTGGCTGTAGGGGTATACAATAAATAATTAATTAAAAAAAATTTATTTATTACAGTTATGTAGTACTTATAAAGTCATTCAATTTTTAATGTGGAAATTTTCTTCTATCCCTTATAGTTTCGACGATATTCGCTTTGAAAGACAAAAATCGATTTTTTTCAAAGGAGTGTTTTACCCTCTAAAACTGAAATTCCGCACAAACAAAAAATAGTTTTGTGTTACGGATGAACTACTCGCACACCAAGTTTTAGAATTTTTTGAATTTTTGAGTTGCCTAATCTCTCGTATAAATGTTAATTGATTAATTTTCTTTGCTGAACGCAGCCTGTGTTAATACTTGGAAAGCTTTATTGAAACTTTTTAGTGAAAGACTAAACTCATTGTCATCTGTATCGAACGGATCACAATAACTTTGATAGCTTATACAAAGTCATAGACGATTCAAATTCGAATGAAGACACCGACTCATATATTAGGAATAATAGGAATAGAAGGAGATTACGATTCCTGTTTTTGTAGAAGAAGACCGCTTTTTATTTGATGACGATAGATCAGAAATTAAAGACAGACTATATCGAAAATACGAGGGCAAGTCAATGAGTTCTTAGAAAATCTGTCAGAGGGCATTCGTAGTGTCATGTCACATTATTTTTTGACAAGTAGCATCTTTCAGCTGATTACTGTCAAATTTTGGACGGAATTCATTGCGTGGTTTCATTTCTGTAGACAAGTAAAGCAAACAATCTTCGTATTTTTTGCCAAATGGAAAAAAACGAGTTTTGTGTAGTGATCAAACATCTACATATGAAAGTCATATGTATGATAGTAGTATATTCGATCCCGAATGATCTTGAAGACACGATAACATCTCAGCACTAAAACAAGCGCACAGATGACGAGTGGCGGTTAAAACTTATTGAAGATGACTTAGGGTCAACATATGTCAAGGTCATCAAATCAGTGAAGTCGTCGATAACATGCAATTTTACCTAGATCTTTTTAAGACCTACAACTTTTGTTTGAAATATTTTTCCGTATTTTTTATAATTTTCGAAATATTTTGATGTCAAAGTTAAAATGAGAAATGCTGTGTGTGCGTGTGCGCGCGCGCGCGCGTGTGTGTGTGTGTGTGTGTACATATACAGGGAGGAACATTTAAAACAGGTCACCTGAATAATTCGCTTGTTTTTAACAATAGAAGAAAAAGTGTTAAACAAAAGTTGCTTGGTTTCGAGAAGCACAATGTGATGTCAATAATTGTTTTGTAGGTGGAGACGTAAAAGATAGGCAAAAGTTAAATCTGTTTTTTTTAATGGAATGATATGTTTTTTTATATACATTCTGATAGAGCATTTTGAGACGGACACAATGACCTATAATTGAAGGTCATTCAAGGTTACCCAAGATCAATAATGGAAAATAATTGAATGTAATGGAAAATAAATTGTTTCAAGGCACTCTTCAAATAATTCCGAGTCTTCTCTTCTTGTTGATATACCGCTAATCGTTCAAGTGTATGTAAATATTTACATACCGTTTAAATTCGCACATAGCATATTTACTGATCAATTTGAATTCATCTATCGATCAAAGTGCGTATCTTGCGTTATACAAAAGCGGAAAAAGTCGATATGACTTTCGTCTATGGTGAATGTCGTCAAATTATGAGAGAAACAGTACGTTTGTATGCTGAAAGATTTTCTGATCGTGTCCATCCTTCATTCTCTGTTTTTTCAAACATAGTACAAATTTTTCAAGAAACAGGAAGTGTGGATAATAAAAAACGCAAACGAATCAAGAAAGCAACTAACAATGGAAATTCAACGAACATTTTAATGCCACCGCTGTGGCACTAAATCCAAATATCAGTCGAAGACAGCTTGAACGTGAAAGTGGTATTAGTCAACGAAGTGTTCTGCGAATACTCCATTCCAACAAATTTCATCCTTTCCATATCTCAGTTCATCAAGAACTACATGGCAATGATTTTCAAAATCATGTACAATTCTGTGAATGGGCATAAGATTACAAAAAGATGATATATTTGTCACTAAAATCTTATTTACTGACGAAGCTACATTTACGAACAATGGACAAGTAAATCTTTGCAACATGCACTATTGGTCAGTAGAAAACCCACATTGGATGAGAGAAGTGGACAAGCAGAGACCTTGGTCTATAAACATCTGGACCGGAATTTTAATGATAATTCATCTTCATTTTATCTCTATAACATTTTATCTATGGGGACGAGCATTGTCCTATTAAAATAGGCTTTTCTCAATGCCGTTTATGAATAATAAAACAATAGGTTCGATCACCATTCTGATGTAAAGGTTTGCCATCATCGTGTTAAAGATAATCATCAGAAAGGTCCTGTTATTATAAAGAAATCCTTCATACCATAATGCCTGAGATCGGTCTTGTATGTCGATGACGGATACAGCTTGCCAATAGACATTCATCAGTCCTCCTTCTGTCCCTTGTACATACTATTATTGGTACCGATGAAGAAACGGCTCACGTCCGTGAATACTACAGAGTGCAATTCTACCCTCCAATAGATTCTTGTACGACATCACTGAAGGCGAATTTTATAATCAACAGAAGTGAGCAAACATGCTACAGGACGCCTAAATTTTATCTATAATTCTCAAATAGACGATAGAACATTAAATAGTCGCAAGTATGCACAGATTTTAACAGAAATATTGCCACTGTTATTAGAATATCTTCCACTGAACGTACGACGATCAATGTACCAGCAAGATGGATGTCCTGCTTATTCTGCACGGATTATTACTGAATTGCTAAACAGAAAATTTGGAGATCGCATTGGTCGG